AAGCGACGTCGGAGGGGAGGAAATGCTACAAGCCTGCAGAGCAGTAGCAGCAGCAGCAAGGGGAGAATAGCTGGGGAAGCGCTGGTGATGGAGGACTTACCTCAGAAGAATTATTGAAAACACCGTTTAGTGTCTAGGAGAAGGGAGGGTGCAAGCCAAGAAAGGGTTAGGCGTGAAACAGACACACACACACACACACACACAGATCAAGAAGGCCGATCCCGATACCACTAGAGGAGGTGGAGGAGAGAGGGCAGGCGAATGAGGCACAAAATCGCATTGGGTGGGAAGTGACACTATTCGAAGTCAGTTACGACTCAAGCAAGCAGACAGTTACCTCCAAAATTCCCTCTCTTTAGCTACTAGTCTGACCTGAAGCGTTGCGAGCCAGGCAACGAGAGCAGGTACTGCCCCGAAAACCTTGGGCGGTCATTTAATTATGACGAAACAAAACTTAATCGCATCTACTTCACCCCTTCCAAGTCTAAAGATTAAGGCAATTGGTGATGAGTGAAAGCACAGCGGCCACACAAAAGCTCCATGAACTAGTCTCGAATAGCACATTAATGACGGTGCCATAAAAGTTGCATCAATGTGAGTTGACACTGAGTATGGGGGCGGACAGAGTTGTTTTAACCGTTTAAGTCAAAAATTCCGCACACGTCGTGGTAAGTGGAAGCACATAAGATGCGGTTTGTTAAGAGGTGTGTTGTATAACCACGCGAAATACAACTTCCGAAATGGGTTTTGACTCAGTATTCCTCACCAGAGGCTGGTTTGAACCTGTCGGCCGACTTATTGTGAATGCAGCTGAGTACAACTTACCGTCAAAGCAGACCAGACGCATACGCGCACGGTAACAAGTAAGAACTCAGCACAGCACCAGGTGTGCGTCTCGTTTGGATAGCCAAACATGCAAACATACTGTGACAGAAGACAGATCGCACCAGACCAGCACCCACCTGTAGTTCAGTCACGGCCCGTGCCAAGGAAGTGGCCAGGGAGACGCGCATCTCCTGCTCCAGGAGACGCAGCCAATCATTGATGACGGGGTTGTCCTTAATTGACACAACATGGGCAAAGTCAACCTCTTCGCCCTCTTTTGAGATCAGACCGAGAACCTCTGTGCACTCTTCGTTCAGTTTGATCGAATTCACCCCGGCGAACATCTTCTTGAAGTGCTTCTGTAGACGTGGAATGTTTTTACTGTTGCCGATAATCTCCAACAGGTCCTCATCACCAACAAAGTAGAACCTATAGAGATGAAGTGAAAGAGGATATAAAAATGTTGTTAAACTCAATCAAATACAAAGGAGGACAGCTGAGAGGAGGACTTCATAATGCACAAAGTGAGCATAGGCTTCGGACGAACTAGCCTTCTTTGTTATTGGCAGTGACGAGGCATATATTCGAACGACCAAGTAACAAAATACATACAAATGCATGGGGTTCAAGTTGGCAGACGAGCATTGCCCGCAAAAACAAGGGAGGCTGAAATTGCCATTTTTGGCTCATTAGCCGTCATCAGCCATTCATACTCAAGGGGGAGGGGGGGGGTTGCAGCAACCGATGCTCGAACCTGCGGCCTGCTGATCAACGCTCTAACCACCGAGTCACGGACTCATCTGCCTACACTACCAGCCGTTGTGTGGCTGCCGGTTAGGCTCAAGAATAAGCCCCAGGGACGAGTGAATTCCGTTAGCGATCGGTGAGCGTTCACCAACGAACGAGGCTTAAGTTGGCAGTCCGAGTTGCATTCAAAGTAGAGAAAGAGACAGGGGAAAGTAACGCATTGCAAAGGCAGGCAATGAGTCATTGCGAAGCATGCGCACGAGTTACTGCGCCGCACAGAGGAGCTTGTAGTCAAAAATGGAGCGAATCAGAATCTCCGCCACATCAGATAGCAGATGTCGTTTATTGTGCTTGCCCTACTCCCTCCACTGCTTCTGGGTGCAGCAGCTGGCGCACTCACTTTCAAGTGAGCACTAGACTTGCTCCAATGAGAGTAACGGTGTCTCGTTGAGGTCGTGATGCCAGGTAGGTAAACTTGGCAGGGGCGGTGACACAGCAGGCAGGTGAGTAATACGCACAATGAAACAGCGAAGGGCACGGCACTATCGCCTCTGCATGTGAATGTACTGCACATACACACATGAACAACAGGCTACCTTTTAGGTCACTGTGTTGGCTAGTCTAAATAAGGCAGGTCGATTAGTTGTTTGCAAATCACCTCTAAAATACGAAGCCTAGCTACAATAACCAACCTGCCGATGTAAGTAGCGTCGAGTTAGGGACAGGAAAATGGAGCGGGTGGAAACTAGTAGCAGTTTTGCATAAAAAACACGCCTGTGGTTACTGAATATGGCCATTGTGGATGGAATATGGAAGTACACTGCCTCGAGCGCAGAAACATGCGCCAATTCAGAGACTAGGACATCTACACGGCCAGCTATTCATACTCCTTTAAAACACCTCCTGTATCAAGCACAGGTGGTCATCGAATGCAAACCGTCAAAAATAATAATAAGCTAGAGGGAACAAAGACACATTTACACTTCCTATAGGTCATGTCTACGTTTATGTGATTAAACATACCACTGTTGGTTTCGGATCATAATGTCCTCCTCCTCAGTGCTTCTCCCATTTCTAAATTGTATTTTCTGCGCTCC